GTGATAACAAAAATACAATTGTAAAAGAAAATATAATTGAGGAAGTCGAGTGAACAAGTTTTTATGAGTCACACAGATAACATTACACAATAGAACTGGAATTCCATCTAGTTCAATTGTCAGGCTATGGCAATGTGGGAAGCTTCCCAAATAATTCCCATTCTTCCTTGGCTGTCATATGACCTTGAACAAATCACTTAACCCCTGTGGACATATTTCTGCCTTGGCAAAAATGTAGGTAATAATAAATGTTTCCTGGATGACTTCTGAGTATTAAATGAAACATAAAATATTGTCTGGTTATGAAATACTTGTGAAAAGTTAATATATTTACTGAGTATGATTGTATTTATGGTAGTGTTTATAAATGAAAATACCAAGGCTTCAGAAAGACTTGCTAATTAGTGGGAACTCAGAATTAGAACCCAAACCACATGAATCTTGGCTAGTAGATTTTTTACTGGAACATCATTCACATTGTAACTAAGTATAATTGGAAGAGTAAGGAGAATAAAAATACTCTAGTAGAGGTGAATAAACCAAGGATCCACTAAATTTGTTTCAGCTGTTAAAGCTATGTCTATACTCTGAACATACTAGTATATAAGAGAAAAATCAAAGGACTGAACTAAATATATTCTTTATCTGAAAACAATATTTTTTAAGCATTTATTATGGAGTCAGAGACATGTACTGTGACTTAGTTCTTGGATTTTATTGATGGAATTTTCAGCTTAGTGACTAGGTGAATTGTCTTTGTTGTCTTCTTAAGAATCTTTCCCTTTTGGTGTGGTTTATATGTAGGCAGGTGAATGTTACTAAAATTAACTTTCTCTGGGCTCAAGTCTCTGGCGTTTAGGAAGCAGAATGGCTCGAAAATAGTAAGACCTGTTTATAAACTGCATCTTCCATTCACTTGTGCCCCTGGGCAAGTGATTCTGGGTCTCACTTTTCTCATTTGTAAAATAGTGATTCTACTACCTCAGGGTAGTTATGCTGAGGAAATGGGCCTGACAAAGTGCTCAATTGTAGCACTTTGTAGCACTCAGTTAATTCAGTTGTATGTTAGAGTTTGAAGCTGGAGGAAATCTTAAAGTTCATCTTTTTTGATTCCTTCGATCTGTATATGAGGGGATCCCTAATGCGTCAAACTAGTACAAATGTTAGTCTGCTCAGTTTCTGTTGATATTTATATACCTGGCCAAGTATTTCATTTTCTAAACAAGACTTCTTAAAAAAATAGAGCCATGTATATATAAAAATATTTACCAAAAATATAATTATATGAGGTATATTACTGATAATGAAAATTGAGAAATGATGAATATGTACTATATAGGCTAGCATGTCACTGTCAGAATTCTATCAGAAATGTATTGGGGAAATTTACACTAATATTTGAATAAAATCACAAACGACTAAAAAATCCTACTATCTCATGATAAGTTTCGGATAATCCAAATATGATTATCTGGAGTGAAAGAAAACACAATTTTCTAGGAAGCGAAACTTTAAAATAACAAAAAGTCTTTATCTTAAGAAATATACCTTTGTTAATAAGAATCAAAAATAATATACCAGAATTACATATAAACACAAAAAAGTGAAATTATTTTTTTCCTCTTTTCATCTTCAGTGGCTGAATTGGTTTTATTGACAAATGAGTACGGCTGTGCCTCAGCAATCACTTTGGTCATGTATTTATATAATTTGCCCGCAGATATGGAACTTCTCGGAACCTGTTCTTCAAGAGTCAATAGCTCAAAACATTTGAGAATATAGTTTTGACCCTGACTCTGCCACTTTCCTCTCCCCTCAAACAACAATGAGGAGCTTGTAAGAAATATTAAAAATACCAGCGTCAGCTTAAAAAAGTTTGTGTGTGTGCGTTAGCTTTTGTGTCCTGGGATTGTAGGGGCGATTCTGTCTACTATTGATGTAGAGACACCTGAACTCTTCACCTACAACCCCTGCCTTACTGTCCAACTTCCTGCTAAAAATAGCCCTAAACAGGTCTATCAAGGGATCCTGTCAAAGATTTTAATTAGAGTGTAAATGTTTGGTTATTTTGTTTAAAAATGTTTTTCTTTACATTTTCTTAAGCTACAAAATAATTTGAGGATGATATCTATTTTACACATACAAAGTTACACTTTTCTTATTTGTAGGAAAAATTAGGTTTACATTTAAGAGCAATTTTAGAACAATAGCTATGCCACCATGTAGGTTAGAATATTGAGGACAAATAAACTTTCTATGGCCTATAATCTGATGACGTACACATCGAAAACTTAAGCAAACATTCTGCAAAGGAAAGCAACTTGACCTGAAATTTGACATGGTTCATTTCCACATCAAGCTCAAACAGATTAATTAGCTGCTTTTTAATCAAATAAATTCTGGTTGCTTTGGAGAAGGAGTGCTGAAAAAACGTCAAAAATAAGCAATGGCCACATTTCACTATAAATCCCTTCCACAGTGAGGCTTTCCAGCTTGCGTTAGCAATCAATACAAAGAAGTGGTAGTGTGACACCCTTGGGCCTCCCCATTGGTCTAGCAGTATAAGGAAAATTCCTGTACCCATCCTTTGCTGACAGCCCCTTTGTAGGCCTGCCTGCTGTAAGCCTCCAAGCCTTCCAGTAATGATTCTGCACTTAACCCTGAACACTTCCTCTTGCCTTCCTCCAACACCAGGATGAACTGCCACTTGGCAGCTGCCACTCAGACTGTGTGGCTAACAGTGGCAACAATAGCAACTCTTAACCAAACATGGTCAAGTTGTATTTGAGGAAGAGAAGGAGAATAGACAAGATACTAAATGATGGTTTAAGTTCTTTTATTCAAAACAATTGTATTAGTTTATGCAATTGAT